GGGCTGGTGGCAGATGGTGGGCCTTACAGCACCACAACAGAGCTTGGTTATAACAGCCTTCAGCATATCAACCACTGTGGATCATAAAAAGGACTTGCTCAAGGGCTGTGCTCACAGAGTAACTTTTCTGGATTTGGAGACATTTTTTCTCAAAATCTGCTTGGTTGGAAATATCCCTTCAGTAAGTTAAAGGCTCTTTCTGTTAGCAGATGAAACACCCTAGATCTCTGGATCAAAGCTGTATTTGTTTGTGATATTTTGTATACCATTCTTAAAAATAAAACTATTATTTATTTCAAGGTGTCTTAGAATAACAATTCAAATAGCAAAGGCACAACAACACTTAAATAAAAATCAATAATCTTTTAAAAGGCTCTTAATATGCCACTATTCTATAAATATCAATTAGTATATGGTTACAATAAAAATATGCACCAACTATGCCTGGTATTAAATAATAAAAGTCGCCATTCATCTACACACAAACATACCTGATTCATAAAAAGAGGAGGAAAATATTCAAAATGCCATTTAAACAAGGATTCAACACATCCAAAGCTAAACGTCTTTTTAGAAAACCCACTAGGTTTCTTTCTTTTATATTTTAGGAATTCTGTGCTCTTACTTTTGCCTTCTTTGTTTATGCTGAGGTTCCATTGGAAACACACACACACACACACACATATATTAATGGCATGATGTGCTTACATGAAAACCTCATGTTTTAAATTGAATGTTGATTTGTTTGTTTGTCTGCTTAATTGGTTTTTAATGGCCTCTGATGCATTGGGTAATTTGGAATGCTCCTGTATGGAATTTGTTTTAAAACCCAGTATTTCTAGGTTCTCCTTTTGAGGTTTGTCTCTGTCAACGTGCATATCTCCTATTTGGAAAAAGTTCGGAAGTGTGGGGATGAAGGAAGCACAAATCACTCATCCAGTTTCCTCCAAATGTCTGGTGTGGCTTTTGTCTGACAATGCCAGGGACTGAACAATAGGATGTGCTTTTCTGTTTCAGAACCTAAGAGCCTGGAATGTAACAAGTTATCAGCCACACTCAAATAAAACAGCAACTGTTTCCGTCAGACTAAAAGGTTAATTGCTGGCATTAAGGAAAAAAACAATGGTGAGAATATTGAAATATTTGCTGGAGCAACCAAACATTAAATGCACATTGTAGTCTAAGCGGTCCTCATCTTTTATTTTACCTTAGGGATAATTCTTCAGCTTTAATATAGGTGAAATATGTCAACCTGCCTGGGTGCAGCAGCTCTGATTTCACTTAACTTATTGTGGAATAATCAATTTCCGTAGTAATGAAAAGGCAACAATGCTACCAACCTCCTGTTTTGAACTCAACACGGCTAATGCCTTTTGGTTCAGGGGCATAAAGTGATCTCTTTCCAGGAATAGGATTGTTTTGTTTCAGTTCGTGTGATCAACAGATTTCAGATATCCATTTCATTCAGTTTTGCCGTACACATCAGATGAAAGAATTCCTCCATACCAGACTTTAAATGTGAAGAATTCACCACATGCAGGCTGGACTGCAGCCAGCAGAGCACAAAATATGTGATACAAGTGTTGATAAAGTATCACAGGCAGAACTCAATTCTTAAAATAACCTTTAGCTGCTTCTTGTGCTATAAAGTACTGTTCAAAGTTCAAAAGCCTGCATTCATTTTCAACACCAAGATTCCCCTTATCCGCTTTGCGTATCTCACATTTTCACCTAATAACCATCCAAAAACAGCACGGCATTTGCCAAACAACCACTTATTTCAGAGAAACATATTTTTCTCCACTTGTGAGGAATTTTCTGGGAAAGAGAGAGTCTTCCCCTAGATTCCTCCTTGACTTGGGCTACTGCTACACAACCCTTAGTCACACAGTGATCTGTAGAACATGGTCACACATTTTTCTTTAAGAGGGCTTGCAACTTAATGTAATTTGCAAAAGAGAGAAATGGAGGGGAGATATCAGGTGGCAGTGCAGACGCAGAGGAGGTATGGCTGCTATTGACCCAGGATCACTTTTGTTGGTCAAGAGACCAAATGCAACATTTCACCCACTCAAGATTGCTGCACGTCCCCCTCATGTTCAGAAAAACAACAGCAACAAATAAAGAAGAAAATATGGAGGGCGGCAGACACCAATACTTTAGTAACCTTAGTTTCTCGGTATGCGTAACTCAGGAATCCAACGCAAGCAATACAATATTGAGTTTTCATCCATTTAAACAGGGATGAGGAACTGTGGCCCTCCAGATGTTGTTGGCTATGGTGGCTGGAGCTGGTTGCAGCTGGGAGTCTAACAATAACATCTGGATGGCTTCAGGTTCTTGCCCCCCTGTATTAAAATGTACTATACAGTGGTACCTCGGGTTACATACGCTTCAGGTTACATGCGCTTCAGGTTACAGACTCCGCTAACCCAGAAATAGTACCTCGTGTTACGAACTTTGCTTCAGGATGAGAACAAAAATTGTGCAGTGGCGGCAACAGCAGGCCCCATTAGCTAAAGTGGTGCTTCAGGTTAAGAACAGTTTCAGGTTAAGAGCAGACCTCCGGAATGAATTAAGTACTTAACCCGAGGTACCACTGTATTTCACACAGCATATATAAAGACCAGCATGAACAGACTCCTTTCCATCTGAAGGGTTCTTCAGGCACTGTGGTGGTGATCGCCCTGGAACAGACTTACTTTTGGCTAATCCAGAACTGACCGACCTAGTTAAGCTCCTCTCTATTTAAGTCAATAGGACTGACTAATTGAGTTTTACCATGTTTAAATATCCCTCCTTTTCCCCATTACACCGGGAATCCAATTTTGGCACACAGGTTGGTCAACCTGGCCATGATGACGATGTGCAAAAACTCTCTCAGCCAAAAAGCAAAGCAAAAAAACCCCTCCCACTTGTTTTATAGATCTGGTATCTTTACTTTGGACAACTGCGCCATAAATTAGGTTATCTGTCCCCAATTAACTTACTGAAAAACAGAAGCATTGCGGCCACTCAAAAAGCAAAACAAGCAACTTAATCAAGGAATTCTAATTCATCCTTACCTCCATTACCAAAACAAAAATGTACCCAGCTCTGCTGCCCGCGGTCTTTGCTGTACGTACTGTACACTGAAACGGAGGATCTCTTCGTTTAGGCTATTTTTTTAAAAAAATGAACACAAATTCTATCATAGCCACAAAATAGCTGGTGGTAGTAGCTGACGGAACTCACCAAGGAAAGATATAGAAAAATACACCAATCTAAGTCGTTTTCAAGCAAGGCATTCTTTTTCAAAGCCAAATCTGTGGCATTAAAAGGGTTGGATAACTACCACTATTTTGGTAAAAGGCCAGTAACGTTATATTAAAGAGTGTTTATTCTGCCCAAATATAAAACTCCCACAAACCCCTATTTGCCAGAATTTTTATAAATGGTGACTATTAGTCTGTAGATGTGCCCACGCACTGTTTGTCCAAATGATCCTACTTTGATGGTGAATTGCACCATTTGCCATTATAAACTGCACACTCCCCAAACTCTCTTCCCCTTTCCCCAAAGTGTCAGGGATGAAAAAGACCTTAATGTGTGAAGGAACACCCAGCTCCAAATGCACACACACACACACACACACACACACACAACTATAAAAGCTGTGAATTTGATTCTCAGTAGAATACATTATTCTGTTTTCTTTCCACAGACCCTTCAGCCACATCTATTTATTTGAGATTGCAAATCAAGAGAGGCAGGGAGAAGCTTGACGTGCAGCTGGTTTCTGTCAATAGGGGTCATTTGTATGTGGTCTCTGTACTTTACAAGCTCCTTGTTCACTTTTCCCAATGGGAGGGTGGGCCAGCTGCCCTGGATCCAAATTCTGGTAAGAGACCAGCTATCTACCTCATCTTATCCCTTAGCAACAACAGCAACTGCCCAGCCCCTCTTTAACTTCATGCTTAGGTCAGCGCTCCATTGACAGGAGTGTTACAGAGCCCCTGCAGAACATTTATCACACACACACAACTACACACCATGCTCTTGCCATGAATGAGAAGTATTTGAGGAAACATTTTTATTCTTCTGCCTTTAAGAACAGGCACTTAAGACCTTTGAAAAACTGAAGGCTTTGCAAAATAAAGCGACATTGCACCACCCGCAACATGGTCACTGCAATATCAAATTATCTTACGTGCATTAGCCAGCATTACTGGAATAATGTAGACAAAACGTCTTTGATATTGCCAAGTGCTGCTTAGATTCTAATTCATAATATTTCAAGTGGGATCTGCCATGCAAAGTCGTCTTCTTTACTGTTCTAGGCAGCAATGCCCTTTTCCATGATACTCCATTTCAGCTTCCCATCCCATAGCTGTAAACTTTCCCCTTTTTTAAAGGGAAATTCCCTTATTCCGAATAGGATTCCTCACAAGAAAAGGGAAAAGTTGACAGCTATGTCCCATCCACACATTTCTGGCCACCCCCCAGCAATGACCAGGCTGTATTTGAAGGCTACAGAACATACTCAAACCTCACTGAACTGTTTTTAGAGGTCCTCCATGTAACGCTTTTTTTAAAAAAGAAAAAGATTTGCACTTAAATCAACCTTGGGGTCCCCCAAGCCTACTGATATTTCCTCACATGCACAACTAAATAAATATATGTATTTATAGACATCTATTGCCCAGCCTTTACCACGGAATCCCAGGGCAGGTCATGTATAGCTCATTATAATGAAACCAGGCAACATCTTCTGCCCCCAGGTTTTAACTAGATAATCCATGACAAAGAAGCTTGAAATTGCATTACAAAAACAGTTGCATGTTGCAGCAAGGTTACTAGACAGTAGACAACTACTGATACATTTAAATTAACCTCTTTTAGTAGTTTAACTTTTGTATCTTTTAAAGTACGATTGTGAATTTTCCTCGAGGTTTTCTACAATCAGGCCGCTGTGTATGGGTTTTATGAAATAAATAATAATAAACGCATGGTCTGGTGTTGGTTAGCTCAGTGGGTTAGAGCATGGTGTTGATAATGCCAGGGCTGCAGGTTCGATTCCCCATAAGGTACAGCTACATATTCCTGCAATGCAGGGGTTTGGACTAGATCACCAGGGTCTCTTCCAACTCTTATGATTCTATGTACAGTGATAGGCTTGTGTCAGTGGTGGCCCTAACAGGATTGAACCAAAGCACATGCATCTCACATTCCCCCATAATCTTTTAGGTGGCTTGCTAATGCAGTGCTATTCCATCAAGCTTTGGGAACGTGCAGGTGTAGATTTATATTTATTTACTACTATTATCCAATGTTTTGATGGACTGCTGCTGATTTTTGACATTTGGATCGTGCTGTGTGTTTTGGCCTTTCATAAAAAAAAAAAATCATGTAATGGGCGCTAGCTACCATGTGGATATTTTCTGTGGAAAGGAATGTTTCGATAAGTAAATAAAGAAATCAAGAAATACATTTATATTGATATTTCATTGCCTTTTAAGATGAATGCATTGAGATGCAGAAGAAGCACAGGAACGAATCTTATCCCGTGCTTCTCCACCAAACCCTTTAGAGGCAGACAAGATGAAGCTGCTTTTCGTAAACCAGAATTCCACTCAAGATTTGTAAAAAAAATACAAGCTGAATATAATTCATCTCTATCCAGCAACAGAACTGAAGATACTTAACGATGACATTTCAGAAATGGATAGAGCTGTTTATGATGATGACGACATGTAAGGAACAGCATTCTTTTCTGAACAGAAAACGCCTAATGATTTCAAGAGGGGGACGGCCGTTCCAAAAATCCACATCAAGGTCTATGTCTTAGTTTAGACAATGCTAATTTGCTAATCTTGTGCCCCTTCTGTTCTCCAACACTGAGACTTACAGCAGTTGGAACAATGACCTGAACTGCTGGGCCGATCTGGATGGGAGTCAGAGTGGAGAGCCAATGTTAAGGATTTGGTTCTATGGGTGGGGCATTGCTCAGTCCACAATGCAACATGATGTGGGTGGAATTTCTGACCGAAATTGGCAGGATTCTATCAAGTAGGCATCATCCACCCAGTCCAAGCATAAACCATACTCATGTTGGGGGAAATTAATGTGTCATTAAGTGCTGTGAGTGGAGGGGAAAGCTTGTAAACCCTGAAAGACCAGAGAGTCTCCTTCTTTAATGGGCATACCTTGTAGCAACAAAATGGACGCCATTAACTGGCTGGCACAGTTTTTCAGCAGTAATATCTACAAAAACACCCAATTTGTTGTCTTATTAGAAGCCTCATCTAAAAGCTGCTAGGCTTCCCTTAGTAGCTTCACCTCTTTCAAACTGTGCAGGGTGAAGGGGGAAAGAAGAAAATAAGTGGATTTTGCAACCATTGCAACATGTTGTGAAGAAAACGAAATAAAATAATTTGTTGGTGTAGGCCGCATGCCACTGAACTTAATGGTGAAGTTCGTATGGATCTTAATGAGTCTAGTTCTTTCCTCCTTTCTCACTGCTAAAGAACGGGACCACAATCCCGAAAGAAAGGAGGATAGTGCTGGGATACGGCCAGTAGTCCAAAGACAGTGAATGAAGGACAAGCTCAAATTTAACAAAACTCAATAGGGAAAACTGCAAATGTGATGGAGCCTAGGTCAACTCTTTTGCAGTCTTTGTTCAGGATAGGTATTACATGTGGCTCTAGGTCAGGGTTTTCCAAACTTGGATCTCCAGCTGTTTTTAGACTACAACTCCCATCATTCCTGACCACTGGTCCTGCTAGCTAGGGGTGATGGGAATTGTAGTCCAAAAAGAGCTGGAGACCCAAGTTTGGGAAACCCAGCTCTAGGTGACCCTTCCTTAGATCTTTGTATACAATGTTGCTATACCCACTGCCAGGAAAACTTGCAACAGCTCTGCTGATTATTTGGAGACCATGGCTATACAGACACAGAGAACAGTTCACATTTTCTTGTCTGGTGTGTGTGAGAGAAACCCTATCAGAGCAGCCCTAAAGCTGTTTGGCATTAAGCAGAGATACCACTGGAGAAAGCAGACACTGCAGTATTAAGCTAGCAAACCACATCACACACCCCATTCATTTTAACAAGTATCTTGCAGGCTTAAGCTGTGGCAACCTCGGATCTGAACGCGCCTCGCTGGTGGAACAGATGATCTCCCTTTCCCACAGAATGCTTGCATCTTACCACAGTCTAGGAGCTTATCTGCTATCAGCCTGGGCAAATGAAATAAGTTCTTCTCGTACAGCTACTTCTCCTTGGAAGACTGCCAATGTGTAGGTTGTGGGAGAGGCAGACTCCGTGGTGGTTGGTTCAAACAAGGGGGTTAAGGTGACTGCATCTTATCTAGTTAGTTTCCCTCCTGTGGTTAAAGCCAGGAGAGATAAATTATCCCATGTTTTGATGGTGCTCCAGTTGGCAGCAGAGAGAGCTGTTTATTAATTTGCTCAGTCCACCTACATATCAGCGCAGGGCTTAAAGGTGCAGTCAAGCTGTGCTGGTGTCAGGAAAATTGAGGAACGGAAGCGTTTTTCAGCCTGTTGCTCTGACAGTGCATGCCAATTGCAGCTTTTGGTGCAAAAGGGTCTTACTATGGAAGACGACAAGTGAATTTTCTGCATTTGGGGGGTAGAATTCTATTGATGTCTATCTTTCTCAAAACCTACCCAGAGTTAGGGATGGAAGCAATTGTCAGTTGTAGTTCTCTCTCTTTTGTCATTTTTCTACTCTTAAATTCAGTTCTTCACATTTCCACAGCAACTTGCGTTTTTAAAAACATAATCTTCATGGTGCAGTGCAAATTTCTCCTCAGAAACACAATTTTCTATGGAGTTTTGACTAATGCACATGCTTTTGCAAACAATTTTCCCTAATATAAGTTAGGTTACTTTCACTATGTTATTCATTTTCATGCACAATTTCCCCTAATATATATTGTAAACATTGGTTGGCTGGAGAATTGCATTACAAAATTTGGATGTGTGAATTCTGAAGGTTAGTTGTTTTGGTCTGTGCTTTTTTAAAAAAGATTTACCATTAAATATGAAGTGAATCACCACCCCTTTCATTCCTCCCTTTCAAACACACATGGGTGAAATACTTATAATAATATAATCATAGAATTTTGGAGCTGGAAGGGACCACAAGAGACATGTAGTTCAACTCCTGCATTGCAAAAATCTCCTGAGATTAAGAGTCTCATGCTCTACTGATTGAGCTAACTTTTAAAAGAAAAAAAGGTAAGCATTTAGGAAATAACATATTTTCTTTCAGAAGTTGCATTTGATTTTTAAAAGCCTTGTAACTTTTCTGTTAGCGCCACCCTTATCCTAGCATGACCCAGTGCTATAATTCTGACATGCAGTCCACACATAATGGGCAGAGAAGTTGCTTTACTGTGTTTCTCACTTAAAAAAAAATTTCAGAAGAAAACAGGAAGATGGAGATGAAGAACGTTATTGAAGAATGAATACAAAACACTGTGTAGAAAGCAAAAGTGGTCAAAATGGTGGGACATTGGTTTTGGGTGGTGACTTTCTTTCCATAGCTCATTAGTTATGAGACTAGATGAATTTCCCCATGCTGTTGTGATCTACAGCAGTGGAATGCACTGGAATGTGTGTTTTTTAATTTCTTTATTTTATTTAAAAACATTTTTCAGCTGCTTAATATTTTTTCAAAAGAACCCAAGCTGCATAAAAATAGTAAAAATAAAATACAAGCAGCATCAAAACAGAGACACAGGATAAAAACTAGTAAAACAGTATTATAAAAACAGGAATTCAGTAAAAACAAATACCAATATTATGAGTCGGAGAAAGCCTGGTTGAAAAGACAAGTCTTTATAAGACTGTGTTTTACATATGGCAGTTGGAAGTGCCTTTTTTTGGTATATCCTCTTGATTAGTCTTTTTTGGGAAGTTTTAAATTAAAAGTGAAACAAAACTTTTAGAACTCTAAAAAAATTGCAAGAAGACACGACCATAGGAAGTTATGCCATCCATTAAATCAGAAACTACACCAATATCCGATAGGAGCCATAAAAACGCATGCAACCATTTCCTCCACAATTTTCCGCAGTACCTTACTAATTGTATTCGCTTTGTGTTGCCTTTCTCTTTTTTTAAATCAAAACGATTGGCATAGGAAAATTTAAGGAGCAGACTGTACTTTGGATTCTGGTGTGCATTTGGGCACATATCAGTTGTTTCGAGTGAGAAGACGTTGCTTTCCTTGCTTCTGCTCATAAGAAATGCCTTCTTCATCACACACAAACCCACAAAGTTCTAATTTAGACCTTCATATTTCTACTGATATAGCTAAGTGTTTTATTCTTTTAAATGGCATGGCACAAGCACATATCAGAATGGCTCTAGTTGGAATCGGAACAGCAATCTCCATGGCTATGCCTATCTCTTTATTCATTTTAGATCTCCGCTGTTACTTGCACACATGTGTTTCGTATGAAAATCTGTTTTTAAACTCATATCCCAGCAAACTTTTTTACAGATAGAATTAGAAAACACCTCTGCAGCAGGAATAGGTTTGAGCACAAAACGGGCATTTCTAAGAGTTTTAATGAAGATATCCTGGAAGGCTGTTTTGCTCACCCTTGTTGTTTGGGTCTGAGGCTCGTCCCCCCCTCCTTTGGATTTTTCTTCTAAATTATTTAGAATTGAGACTCTATATGACACACGATCCCATTATTATTTGGGAAACACAACAACAGCATTTCATACATTCTTCATTTTTCTCACTGCAACCACATTGAATAGTTTTGTGCAAATGAAGCTTATAATTACTCCTATAAATCAGCCCAATGTGGTATTTCTTGTGATCTCTTTCAATAGCCTCCCTCGAGGATAGGAATCCCATCTGCTTCCCTCCATTCAGGCTAATTGAAGGGCACTGACTTTTCAAAATGGATTCATTAATGACTCCACAGCGCATATTCTCAAACTTTGTCACGGCGATCCTCTTTAAGTCAAGAAGGGAAAGGGGGGGGGAGAGCGGGAGATGAGGGGAAAAAAGAGAAGAAGCTGACCTATTCCCAGGTGTGACTCAGAG